TGAGAAAATGTCATTTGGTCCAGGTGGACTCCTGTTCTGTTGGGCTTATGACATTTGCTAGACATTTGAGCTCCCATAAGGGAAACCCATTTTTTAAATCTGATTTCTTAACTAAATAGAGAAGCCATAAAAGCAAAAAAGGTTTCTAGTGGCTCTGAGTGCTTGAGCACTCAGTTCATTTATTTTACCACAGTTCTGTCTCCTATTGCTCATGTCTGTCTGACTTGCACTGAGAAACCACACAGAAACACAGAGGATCTACACTGCCCAGAATCCTTGAGTGAATTCATAGTGCCAAATAATTGCTATCCTCACACTAATGATTCCATCTCATGCCAAAATAGTAATTTTTTTCCAAGATGCAATCTGCATCTCGAACCTGCCTTGAAGCATGAATCTAGTCAACAGAAAGCAGTTCAAATTATTTAACTGATCTCCTAAAAAGACCAGCTTCCAATCATCACACCCAGAGAGTGAGGCAGAGTTATACAAGACAAAGAGCAGAAATAGAGAGAGAAAATAGAGGTGACCAATAAGTACACAGCCATGACCTAAAAACAAGTACAGAAACACCTGTACAGTCACATCTCTGTAACATTGGTAAATGCCAGTGTACTGTATATCAATTTTGCAAGCTCTAACAGCAATCATCATCATGGGCATCCTATCTTCTGTATGATTATCAATAATACCATGCTCTGGCTTCGGGACATCTGCAAGACCAGGAGGCCACTTATGAAAAAGAGATAGAATGGAGTGAAAGAGACTGTTAGGTATTTTTAGTCAGATAGATATTGGTTAGATACTTTATGTATTAGAAATATTTAGTGGAGATAGGATGTCTAGTTAGACTGTTAAATGCTTAGTCATGCTTATGAGTTTCTACAGGGTACATCTGGTCAAGGATAACTAGAGAGAAAAGTTGATGACTGTCAGCAGACAGGGTGTTTAATATTATTATTATGACATGTAGAACTGTAGCCTTAGCCATAATATGTTCTTATGTTTAATGTCACGACATGTACTAGAGGTCGTGAGAATGTTTTTAGTTACACATCAGAGTTAGCAATGGTAACAAGAACCAAAGACCAACAAGACACTGTGCCAAAAATCTGTTCTCCCAGCAGAATGCACCACTTACAGTGGAGACGATAGGGGAGAGAGGAAGAGACGCAGAGGAGCAAAAGAAAGAACTGAAATATATAAGAGAACGGCGATAACCACAACCTGGAGCTACTCAAAATGCCAGGTCAGAAATAACGGTTACCATAGTAATTGTGCCATTCTCTTTTATTATTATTTAATAAAATGATGCCACATTTGTGGTGCGAGAAGGACATCTAGAGGTATGTCTGCGACTAGCAGGACACTATTGTCATACCAATAGCAGTGCCACTAAAACTAAGGCAGCAACAATTATTTTCATGACCCACTAATGTGACATTATCTCCTACAAGAACTGATTTTTTTATAAAATGACAGATAAGTGTAAAGTGTCCATTAAAGTTTCCTAAAGCTCCAGATGTCTTCAAACTCATCATTCCAATATCCTGTTTACTATCACATATGATACATAACATAAAGCACCAAATTCCTACATTTGATAAGTTTCCAAAAACTGACAAAAAATCGGCCTCTTCATCACTACATATCAAATGAATTAAATATCTGCAGGGGATATTTTACTAAATTCCAGGTTTAAATCTTTACCATTAGAACCCCAGTGTTCCCTAATCCATCAAAAATTTGTAATCACCTGGATATTAAATCCAGCACTAACTTTAGAAATCTGACTGGGTCTTCCTCTAAGCTGAATTGTATAATGTTAGCTGGCATATACAATTATATAAATAAGTCTTAACAGATCACTAGACCTGAGTCAAATGTACAGTTTGGTGGATAAATATGCAAACTGTAGTAAATTGTCTTCATATTAGGCAGTGTCTGTGTTTCATTTTTGACCTCATTGTTGAGTCAGATGGCAAACATTAAAATCTTCTTAAATTAATTTTGTTAGACTCCTCAAATTTTTGAGACAAAATTTAATTTAAACATGAGAGTCCTTTTGCATTGTATCTTGTCCTTTGGACTCATAATGCAGCAGAAAGGTATACTTGCCAGATGCACCACTGAGACCTAGTATATTTACACTTACCCTTAAATAATGCAAGTCCAGAGTCAAACAGCAGGGTAAATGAGAGCTTCTTATACACTCACACATACATCAGCACATCCCCAAAGCACCAAACCAAACTCCCCACCTGACTGCACCTTTACTTAACTCCAACATCATCCTCTTCATTGCAGCTATTTTCTAGGTATCCTAAGGGTCCATATTTATCAAGCACTTTTGATTCTCTCCAAGTATTTGTGCCAAAGGTGGGGTGAACTGCGCACCAGTGTTTGTAGGCACTGGTTCATTTTTGCTAGATAAATATGGGCCCTGATCTGTGCAGGTAAATAAATCTCAAAACACCTGAAGCGGATTACATTTTCAAACAGTTACAGCTGGAACACAAAGATAGTACCAGCTTTAGGTAGAAAGGAAAAAAAAAAAACAGATAAAAGAAATAAGCTACAGATGAATGAACTAATAGTAAATAAAGTAAAGTAAGTAAAATAGGGAAAAGGCGAGTTATTTAAACTAAATATCCCAACCTGCAATCACCACTGCCCTGAGCCATTAAAAGCTGCTGTTACCATATCAATTTAATTACCAACAGTCACTGGATTACATCATGTCTAATCTACTAAGATTCAGCCTTGGG